TCATATTTCTGGCCTCATCAGTTGTCAGTGGTTATGTCCTTGGTGATTGGAGAATGTGATCAAAATCATATTGAACTGCGTGCGTTTTTAATTATTTACAATGAAAAATTTATAATTCAATCGGCAGCTTATAAAAACTGCTGTCTATGTTCGCTTTCTCAAAACCCTAATGGATGCACGTTTTCTGGCAAAGTGAAAGTACATGTACTTGTGCATGTTAACCGTAACTGAAACGATGCTATCATTTTTCATGTTTTATTTAGTTTGAGACTAGGCTTTATACAGGTTGAATAAAATATTAAATACAATAAAATAAAGTCTGTGTAAAACATTTGATAAAGTTATTATTATAAAATATTACTAATATAAATAGAGGATATTCAATGTTTTGTAGATGAATATGGAATTTATTTCACGAGTGGGATAGGATTTTTTGATATTTTCACGAGTGCGAAGCGCGAGTGAAAATATAAAAAAAATCCTGTCTCACGACTGAAATAAATTCCATATTCATCTACAAAACATTGAATTTTCTGTTTATTACATTTTCTTTGATTTTCCCTTTGCCTCTGTCTTTTCTTAACACAGTGTCATAGGCTTGACGTCATAGTTGAGCAGTTGAGACGTTACAGCAGTTCTGAGATTGAAAACATTACATAGCATGGATTTAGCAACATATTTGGGAAGAAATTTGCAGTTTTAGCTCTATCAAGATCGTTAGTTACTATTTCTATCTAATGACAGTCCAGAAATTATTTTTACTTACTTTGATATCCTTTCACACTGTGAGAGAATATCAGTTTGGTATCCTTTCACACTGTGAGAGAATATCACTTTTATTCAATAAATAAATCACAGTATTTCACTGTTGAAAATGTAATATTTATACGCACGTTATTTGACTGTTTACGTGTACCTCGATTTGCACACGCTGAACGGAAACGGTGTCATTTTCACTCGTACGTGTACCTAAGCTTGTTTATACCCGATGTTAATTTCAAAGTTATCTTTCATTAACAATATATCGAAGTTCTTTCTGTAATATTTAAGGAATGTTTTTAAGTTTTGTGTGAGTTATTGGTGTGTAAATCACACAGACTTGTCACCTAGGCATAGTTCATTAAGCGCGCTAGCGCTTCATGAAAAATATGCCTACGTGCAAGTCTGTGTGATTTACACACCAATAATTCACACTAAAGTTAAAAACATTCCTTATATTTACATTTTACAAGTTTAAAAGCACCGATAATATACTCAATATTTGAATTTCTTGTTGCCCTACATCGTTACATTTTTATTAAAGTCTCTGTAGCCTCATTGTGACGTCACTTTAGCGCGAGTTTCACCGTGTATATTTCTACGCGTGAGTCACAGGCGCTTGACGTTTTTAACCTTTCTTTCCATAAATAAAAAATCCCCCATACTATAATAATAACAAGGTTCGTCACGGTCGCCATCTTGAATTTTTCAGTTCAGCTACTTCGCCTCGATTTTTAGTCTACAATGTGTTTAAAATTAACGGATACAACCGTTTCCCTCAAGTACATACTTTAACTATGCCTCCACTTTCGGGCAATTCAACTCAAATCACATTAAATCCTCTCTAATTCTTAAAATTTCGCTTCAAACTCAGTCTACTGCTACCGATTCCGTAAAACTTAGAAAAGGGAGGCCGGAAGTTGATGTTAGAACGTCACAATCCGGGAAAGCCCTTTTCTGATTGGTGGATATCTTGAGAGTTATATTGATATTAAGAGCTGTTTAAAAATGGAGCTTGAGCAGTTCTAGACTAAGTACTGGTACGTATTTTATAAATAACTTAGTAATATATACTGATACATCTATAGTCCCCAACTGTTTGCAAATAAATATATATTTAGACTAAAACTGTGTACTTTTTCAACTGCTATTTAAGAAACACTGAAATATTTAGGCTGAATAGTATACACTGCATTTTACATACAGAGGCGTTGTTACACACCTGAAAGTAAAGGGAGCTTAAATCCAAATAAAAATTCAATTATATTGTCAAAACATAAAAGCGTTTACAATTTAATTCTGAAATTTAGGGGGGGGGGGGTCTGGCAGATTTTGAAAATAAATTTACTTGTCCTTCACTGACATGGAAATAAAGCTGGGAAAAAATTGCCAGCCCCCCCCCTCCGGAATCAATTGGTCCTCCCTTAAAAATAAATGAATGGCAATATAATCTGTGAGGCCACCCATAGGTCTTAGGCGAAGCCTTGATTGGGGCGGGGGGGGGGGGGGGGAGGGGAAGCTCCTGGCTTGTACAAATATTTCAATCACATTCTTGCAGGGAATAGCATGGTATTTGGCTTTTCTTATGAAAGACAAGACAGTAATATTGTTTTTAACACGAAGTTTAACTTTCTCGGAAACTTATTGTAAATGTACTTGAGGCATGCAGAATCTTTTACCTTGTATCTTTATCTTTTATCTTGTATCGTCTGCTCTCTGTTATAATATGTATTAATAATGTTCAGCAACAAGTATTTCAAATGTTGGTAGCAAAAATAATTTTAAAATCATATACTACAGTGGCGGATCCAGGAGTCTTGAAAAGGGGGGGGGGGCAGTTTGGGGTCAGGGTAGGGGCTCACAGCCACACACAAAAAAATTGCTTTATTAAATCTTATGTATATTTTGGACACAAAGGGAGGGGGCGGGTCCCCTGCCCCCCCTCTAAATCCGCCAGTTTACTATTTGATCAAGCCATTTGACGATAATTAAACTTAATTTCTCAAAGGTCTTATAGAATTATTAATGTGTTATAGAACACTTACTATAGATTAATGATTTATTTGGATTTGGCAATGATTCAATAAAAGATTTCAAATAGACGTAATAATATAAAATTTGATTCGAAATAATGACAATTAATAATTTGAAACAAAAATGTTGCCGGATGATGCTAATATTTTTTTCTCTCAACAATCTCTCTCTCTCTCTCTCAGACCTAGATTTTTTTTTTAAAACGATGTGTCGTAACGCACTTGCGTACTTGCAAAGACAGCTTTGCGCCTGTAGAAAGAGGGGACATGGAGGTTCAGTGATCTAGGCCAGCTCACAACTGTGATGAAAAATAAAACATACACATATCTATCCTTCTTTTTTATAATTTTCATCGCTTCCAAACACTGAAAATAGTACCATTATAGGGAAGAAATATTTATGCCAGAATGCAAGGGGTCTGGTTTACACGAGAAATTAGTAACCAGAATTCCAGGACCAAGCATAATTTTTATTTCCTCATGATTTTTTCTTCAACAAAATAAAAGAAAAAAAAATATTTCACATATTATTTCTGATGATTATGGAAAGCATCGGCCTGCTCAGCATTCAACATGTCGAAAAAGTTTGTTACTGTCTTTGCACGATTTTTCCCGCGAAACGTCATTTTTCTTTTAACCAATGAAATTTAAGTAGAGGGAATTCTCATTTACATAACAACATCAACTTCCGGCCTCCCTTTTCAAAGTTTTACGGAATCGGTAGCAGTAGACTGAGTTTGAAGCGACATTTTAAGAATTAGAGAGGATTTAATGTGAATTAAGTTGAATTGCCCGAAAGTGGAGGCATAGTTAAAGTAAGTACTTGAGGGAAACGGTTGTATCCGTTAATTTTAAACACATTGTAGACTAAAAAATCGAGGCGAAGTAGCTGAATTGAAAAATTCAAGATGGCGACCGTGACGAACCTTGTTATTATTTTAGGAATGACTCTAATTCTTGGCCAAATTATACGAGTATAACCTGGTTTGGGTCAGTTTACGCTGTTTTATAAGCCGCTTCGCTGTTTTATAATCCGCTTCGCGGATATAAAGCGTAAACTGACCCAAACCAGGTTATACTCGAATAATTTGGCCAAGAATTAGAGTCATTCCTTATAATTTAATTTAAATCATTAAATAACTATGGGTGTAAAATTTCGTTGCTTTTTATTAGTTCAAATTTGCCGCTCAATAATACAACCGTAGTAACGGAAGTAACGGAAGTGATGGGAAGCGAGGGGAGGTAAAATCTGATACATAGGCCTAGCAGCTTGTTTACATGTGGTAAGATCGAATTATTGTTTGAAGTTAAAGGTACATTTATTAAATCTGGAATTTTCCATGAATCCCGAGGACTGGAAATGAGAGGATTGTATGGATACAGATGATTCAGCTGGTTGTCAGGGGGTGTGTCCCCATACCAAACCAGGTTATACAGAAATAATATGTGTTCCTTTTTGGATATTAACCAATCAGGGGCTAGAATACAAACAAAATTAAATTATTATAGTATGGGGGATTTTTTATTTATGGAAAGAAAGGTTAAAAACGTCAAGTGCCTGTGGCGTGAGTATACACAAAAATGACTTTCAAATCAATTTTACAGTTAGCTTAGTAGAAAAACACAGCAAATGTAAATATATTATAATAATATACATATTTTGTGAAATATTCCATTAATAAATATATACCACTTTATTTGTGAGAACTCAGAAGTGTTAACATTCACAACGTCATTCCTTAGAACGTACGAAATTCATCTAGATACATATGCAACTTTGAGGACCCCTTACAGAAAATATGTCAGAGATACTGAAAAAAGACAGTTGGTTTGAAAAAATATATAGTCTGTAGATATGTCCAGACTGAGGCAAAGTTGCCCTATTTTGAAATCAGGGCAATTTTGGTACTTTTTGACATTTGTTCTTTGCCTTACTTATAGATAACATTCTTTGAGGTGAGCTTTGTAATCTTTGATTACCTATGTTTTGTACAAGTTCCTCGTACCCTTTCAACTGGGATTTTGAAATTGAAAGAGTTGCAGAATTCTGAAATATTGGTGTCTTATATGAAGGTTAGCTGTTGAATAAAACATCTTGGAGGCAAAAGTTAAGCCCTGAGAATGATAATATCAATAATAAAAAAATTAAACAAGTTTAATAATAATAGAATGACATGTATGAGAAATTAAATGAATTTGTATTTTCAGGTTATGGGGAGCTTTTAATGCAGTTATATTCAATACTATCCTTCTTCTTGCAACGGTATCTCATCTAAGGGCAGTGTTTTCAGATCCAGGAATTGTTCCCTTGCCTGCAACAAGTCTAGATTTCTCAGATCTGCATGCAGGAAAATCAATGCCAAATATGGTAAGTGTGTGTTTTTAGCTCACCTGGCTGAGCTGAAAACTCTAGTGAGCTTTGTCTGTCATCTGTCTGTCTGTATTCTGTACACCTGTAAACTTTTCACATTTTTAACTTCAATGCAGAACTATTGGGTCAGTTTTAACCAAACTTGCCATAAAGCATCCATGGGAAAGGGGATTCAAATTATTTCAAATGTAGGGCCACATCCTTTTTCAAAGGGAGATAATTTAGAATTAGTAAAAATTTTGTGTATTCTTTAAAAAGTCTTCTTCTCAAGAACCACCAGACCCTAAAAGTTAAAAACTTACGTAAAAACTTTATTACATAGTGGAGATTCAAATTTGTTCAAATCTTGACCCCTGGGGTGTGAGATGAGGCCACAATTGAGGATAAAAGTTCTACATAGGGATATATGTGGAAAAAATCTGAAAAAGAATAGCAAAGCCATGATTGGTTATAGTCATACTGAGATGGAAGCATCCTCAGGTAGTGAACCAGATTCAAGATTGTTCAAATCATGATCCCCTTGGGGTAGAGTTGGGCCACAATTGGGGATCAAAGTTTTCCATAAAAATATATAGGAAAAAATCTTCAAAAATTTTCTGAAGAACAGCAGAGCCATGATAAGTTATATTGATATGAAAGCATCCTAGGTTGTATTGATTCATATTCTTCAAATCATGACCTAGGGGGAAGGATGGGCCACAATATTTTTTCATAGGAATTCATAGTTTAAAACAGTTCTACTCAAGAACAGCAAAGCCTTGATTAGTCAAATTGATGTGGACACATCTTCAATAAGCATAATTAGTTTATCATGACCACAGGGGATTGAGTGAGGCCACAATGCTGGATCAAAGTTTTACATAGGAATATAAGGAAAATATCTTCAAATTAAAGTCTTTTTCACAAAAACAGCAAAGCCATGATTAGATGTAATGATATGGAAACATCCTAAGGTAGTGTAGTTTGTTCAAATCATGACCCCTGGGATTAGCGTGGGACCACAATTGGGGGTCAAAGTTTTACATAGCAATATCTAGAAAAAATCTTCCAAAATCTTCTCATGAACAGCAGAGCCTTGATTAGTCATAATGGTATGAAAGCCTCCTCACAGAGTGATGATTCAAGTTTGATCAAATCAAGTCCTTAGGGAAGGATGGGGCTACAATAGGGGATCAAAGTTTTTTCATTGGAATTTATAGTTTAAAAAACTTCTACTTAAGAACAGCAAAGCCACGATTAGTCAAATCCCTGTGTAAAATTTTGCTTGTTAAGGAAATTGTGGTAGTTGATAGTGCCCCCTCATCTGAAAATGTATGGCTGTGCCCCCCCCCCCCCAACCTGAAATCCTGAAATTGTTTCCTACAGGCCATATATATATATACATGTATATATATATATATATATATATATATATATATATATATATATATATATATATATATATATATATATATATATATATATATAATTATATATATATATATATATCAGCACACTTTATGGAACTTTTTTTCTCCCTTTACTACTTAAGTTCTTCATAACTATGGATAATATGCATTTCCATGAAAACAAAAACAAAAAAATAAAAATAAAGTTTAAAGTACTGAAAAAAAAACTGATTGGATTGGGGTGGCTGTAATGGTCAAGTCAGACAGAGTACAAAAACAATTTTTTTATTGTTGGCCTGGCCATGCATATACATGTACATTTAGTACAAGTGTTAGTTATTAACTACAGTTACTTGTATACAACATACCAACATCATCCTCAATATCCAATTTAGTGGAGTAGGTTTTTCTATGTCTGTCAGAACAATTTCTGCATAAACCTGCAATTAAATGAGAGCTGTTCAATGTTTGTGATGTCAAAATAAGAATCATACTTTAGCTTTTTGACCTTCCTGTCTGTGTTACGATATTTAAATGCCATAACTTTCCACACACTTTATAAGCAAAATTTATGTAATTGGAATGTAAATATAAATATGTGATATGTATAATATTTCTATTTCATCATATCAAATCAATATTCTAAGTAACTTTTATCTAACAATTTCTTAAAAACTAGTGTATGTTATTTAATGTGTGTGTATAATTTACTGTTTAGGTTTGTGCAAACATGCCTCCTCAAAATCATATCACTCACTAGAACCAACGGGAACAGCTATTTTCTCGTGCAACCATATTTCCTTTTGACATTGAAAAAATTTACGCCTCTGTCTAGTTTTCCTTTCTGGTCAGGTGGATCTAAAGGGTGTGAACACTGCCTAGAAGTTTATACCAGTGGGTACTAAGGCTATTTCTGTGATTCAGACATATTTTGAACTTTACAGCCTCTTTTGTAACTGTAAAGAAGACCCTCAGGTATTGTCACCTGATGATGTTTAGGGGCAGCTTGACACCGCACAAAGTATGGTAATATGTTTCTGAAAGTCGTCCGCAGGCAACAGAGCTGCATGACCTTGAAAAGTCACATCTTTCATCCATGCCTATGAAAATTGCCATAAGTATCTCATTCCCTAGAGAGTAGCTTAAGGGGAGATAATTATGTTAAAATGATTATTCGAGTCTTGTGATTCTTCATTTTTTTCACTGGATATATCTGTATTTTACTGTACCGAAAATTGGATTTTTTCTTAAAGTGTGTATATATATAATATATATATACCGTATATACTTGCCTAAAAGTTGGTCCGCCTATAAGTCGGTTGTATTTTTTGAGGTTATTTTGGAGGATTTGCCATTGACCCGCTTATAAGTTGGTACAACTTTTTGCCAGAATCAGTTAACAATTTCAAATCAATGCTCTGATGTTTTAGCCTGGTTTTAATTAATATTTTTAGACATGACGCCGATATTTAATTTTAAATCTTAAATCATTAAGGAAAATACATTATGCACACAAGATAAAAATAAAGTTATTAAAATACGTAAATACTTGTACTTCAAATATAATTTTTGAATACATAATTGATATAATATATCCAGACTTTGTTTAACAATAATCGCGAGAAATGTTTATAAAATACTACATTTCTCCGTCCAGAAAAATACTAATCTTTTTATGATTCGCCTATAAGTCGGACTTGGAGTTTTGGACCAAAATTTAACTCCCAAAAAACTGACTTATGGGCGAGTATATACGGTATATATATATATATATATATATATATATATATATATATATATATATATATATATATATATATATATATATATATATATAGTGTGCATATCACTGAATTGCGAGTATGACGTCAGAGCAGTATTTCGCCGAAAAGCCGACTTAAGGTCAAGATCTAATAAATGAGTTTAGACTGTCTTTTTGGTGCTAGATCCATTATGACGTCATAATTGATTTAAACTTTATTTTTCCCGTACTTTACGGCTATTAGAATTATGTAGAAAATGAAACATTTTCATGGAATTCAATTTGAAATCATGTCAAAATTAATCCCGATTCCTACATTTAAATTAATATCATTTTAAAGAAGAGATCAAGAAGATATGAAAAACTGTTTTCTGAGAGACTGTAGGCAATATTGATACATTTTCTCTTTCTTAGAAGGAAAAAACTCCCATATTTGTACCTGACTTCCTTCATTTTTCATTGAAAATAACAGTTTAAAGTATCTTTTTTCGTTGAGTTTACCTAAAAATTATGCCCTGATACACCTAATTTCGCCAAGCTATGTTTATAAAGGATCATTGAAAGAACTTGTATCTCATATTTGAGAAATCTGAAGGCACCTTCCATTTACTAGATCTTGACCTTAAATATGCATATTGCCATACCGGTATTTGAATTTCAGCTCTTAACATCTCTTAAAATATGCTATCAACAACATTTATTGTATTCAATATTTTAATAAACAAGGTTGTAGGTAATATTTTTCATAAATTACGATTTTTGAAAGATCATCGATAAGTCCTTAAAATGCAAACTCAATAAGCAAAACATGCCATCCTAATTGTTCACATTTACTGAAGTACTAGCGAAACAATATGCGAGAAACAGGGTTAAAAGTTAAAATAAACATACTCCATTAACCAAAAGTTTGGAATTTTTACTCTGTCTTAGAAGCAATGTAGAAAAATGTCAGGCACATTTATAGGATCGATTTTGAATAAAAGGGGGGGGGGGGTTATAAGGGAAAAAATTGACAACTTACCTGAAAAAAATCTTAACTCCCCCCCCCCCCCCAAAAAAAAAAGAAAGAGAGGAGGATTCTCCCAAATCAAAATTTTATTTTGTAGTATGTTAAAGTCCATGTATAAGAGCAGCCAAAGGCTCAAAGACCTAATTCTATGGCCATATGTGCGGTGTGCATAAACTTTTAGAATATGGGCCATAACTCAAGAACCCCTTGGCCAATTATTGTCAAATTTGTCACAGGGTATCCTTGGCCCAAGGGCTCCCGTTTATGCTAAAACTAGGGTTGTGACCTAAAACAAGGGGAGATAATTAGGAAAATAGAAACAAAAGTACTGGTTGCTAAAAAATCTTCTCAAGAACCACTGGGCAGATTATCACCAAACTTACACAAAAGGATGAGGATATATGTTGTAGATTAAAATTTGCACGGGAATTTACCCTGGGACAAAGGGCGTGGTCTCAAGGTCATTTCAAAATTGACCAAAAATGACATTTTATTAACATGTTGATATTTTGCTTACTATAAGGACTAGGATCATCAAATCTTGTCAGTTGATGCAACTAAGGACCTCATATCATGTTGACTCAAAGTAGGTCACGGTGACCTACTTTTTAAATTTTGCGGCCATTATTTTTCAAAATGATTTAGAGGCATATTTTGAACAATTTAAGGCCTATGATCATCAAACTTTGTCAGTTGATGTATCTTGGGTCCTTGGAGTACGTCGACTAAAAAGTAGGTCACCTTGACTTACTTTTTGAATTTTATCGCTAATCTTTTACAAAACAATGTCATTAATTCAAATACTGAGAGGTTTAGAATCATTAAATCTTCTGAGGTA